AAGTTTCCACCAAATTATCAAGTTGATCAAAAGTTTCAGCAGTAAAATCTACATTAAATAGTTCACTAACAAGTCTTCTTGTGGGTAATCTATAATGATATGAAGCTAACATTTGAACTATTTTATAATAAGTCTCTAATTTAGTAAATACTTCGGGATGTTGATTCCTTATCCTAAGTAATTGTAAATAATTATGTATAAATGGTTATTCAATTATTCTTAATCATATTTTCATTGTTAATATAATATAATTAATTTTTTTACTTACTTTGACAAACTTTTTGAACCTGTACTTGATAATATCCTATTAGTCAAGTTAGCCATGGCTCTTAATAAATCTCTTTCAGCTTGTGAAGAAGGAACAATATGTTTAATAGGTAGATCGGGTGCAGAAGAAGTTGTTCCAAAACAAGACTTAAAACCTCTTACTGTTATTAGAGGTTTTACAGCTAAAAATTTTTTTTAAGGTTAATAATTAACCTTTCATCAAAATTGTACAGAATTTTTTACTACATATTTATATATTATATTTTATGAGCTTGCTTTTTATTTTTATTTTTTTTATTTATTTATTATTATTATTTATATTATTTTCTATTTGTTTATTATGGACTTTTGATTTTCTTTGATTTAACCGTTCGTTATCTGTTATGTTTTATTATTTTATTATTATTATGTTAACAATTTTTTTTTTTTTTTAAAAAAAAAAAATTCTTTGTATTTAATTATTATTATTGATTTTATTTATTTATCGTTTTTTTTACATTACATTATTTTAACTATATATATTAGTTTGGTTTGTATTTATAGAATAATGATTTTTAAAAATTTTTTGGTGATGGGACAATTCAATTATTTATTTTTTGTGTAATTTTAGCAAATATATTTGTAACATATATATATGAAAAAAAATTCTAATTTATTATAAAAATATTATAACAGAACAAATTAAAAAGTTTCCAATATTCAATTATTTTTCATGTGCACATAATTTGTGCGAGATATTTTATTAATAAAGATTTCGATTAGAGGAACATGAAATTTTTTTTTTGTGTGGTAAATTGTAACGCACACGTGATTTTATTAAAATCGCATGTAGTAACAGAAAAAATTATTTCTACCACTTCTACCTGAATTATGATTAATTATTTGTTAAGAAGGCGAATTCGAATTATTGCTACGATATGAAGGACAAATGAAGATTTATTCCATCAATTGTATCGACTATAAAAAAATAAAGATCAAATTATTTATCAAAAAAAAATGTCACCTACAAACGGGTTATAAATTTTTGTTAGTTTATTTTTATTTCACCCACACACGAGTTTAATGTGTCGACTATAATAAAAAATAAATTAAAATATCATTAGTTTATTTTATAGATCAAATTATTTATCAAAAAATATCACCTATAAAGAGGAGGTCTTGCTTGTCTAAAAAAAAAAATAATAAAAAAATAGATAGGTGATATTTTTTTTATACAAGGAGCTTGGTCAATTAACTCACGTCTACAAATCATATGAGCGACGTGTCAAAACAGAATACATTTTGAGTAAAAACAACCTTATCGTGAAAAAAATTATAACAAGATCGAGATTTTTTATTTTTTGGTTGCCTCGAAAAATATCTTTTTATAAAGTTAACTTTAATTGAATTAAAAAGCATTAACTAATAAAAATATTTTGCTGATAAAAATAACGAGCCAAAAAATATGTTCCCTTTTTTATTAATACACGTCATATATATATAAAGACACTATACAAAAAGATAAATTTCATCTTCTGCATATTTGATTATAAAAAGACGTCACAGCTCACTTTTCAGTTATTATCCAATACTACTAAAAAAGGGCGAATTTCCTTGGATCTTTTCTTTTATAACAATTTATTCTCTAAAATTACCATCCGAACTGTGTTTGTACATTATAAAATTAAATTGGCCCAAATGGTTTATAAAAGAAAAATATTAAATTATATGTATTAAAGGATATTAAATTATGAAAAATTCAAAAATAACTGTATGATTATTAATTTCATTATTTAAATTATTTAATAAAATATATGTCATTTCATATTAATTCATGTATTTAATATAATGATAGATAATACTACTAATTGTAATAGTATTTTGAAAAAGATACTAGTCAAATACAAAAAAATTGCTATACCAAATGATAATTCCTATATTATAGATCAGCTAAAATCGAAATTCCTATATTATAGACCAGCTAACTGTCCTATTTTTATATTTTTATCCTATATTATAAATCAGCTAAAATTAGAATTCCTATTTGCATCAGTATTTGACTTGTGATATATGTACATTCTATGGATTTTGCTAAATCAGTTATTGGAGTAGTGCCTTACTGAAAACTTCAAAAATGGAAGCTTTTACTTTTGCACACAGAGTGCTTAATGTACAGTGTGATTCAAAATTATTTGAAAAAAATAAATTTATTATTACCACCACCAAACCAATTACATTTACAGCTGAGATCATTTTTCTTAATTTGAAAGCAATCAGTTGATTTCCTTTCCCATGGTCTTGACTCAGTACAGCACTGATGGTGAAGTCAGAAGCATCAGTGGTTACTATAAATGGCTTTTGAAAAGTGTATTTTATTAATAAAAAAAAATTTAATAATTAATATCACCTTTATTTTCTATTACCAGCAAATATCTCTTTTTATTATTTTACTAAATTCTCAAATGTATCATTTGGAATTAAATCCTATTCCTCCTTTGTAAATAACTCTAATTCACCCAAATTTTTTGGTTTTTTTTCATGTTTCTTTTAACTATACTCCATAGGTTTTTGATCAGATTTAAATCCAGACTACAAGATGGCCAATCAATAACTTTAGAAAAATTCAATTCAAGATAGAACTTTGCAAGATGACTCGTATGTTTCAGATCATTATCCTGTTGAAACCTCCAATGTTTTTCAGAAGAGCATTAAAATATCTACATAAAATTTGGCATTCATTGTTTCTTTAAAGCAAAATAAATTAACTTTACCCTTCTTACAAAACCTATCTCACACAAAAATTTTTCTCCTATCTTTAGTAATCTGACAAACCAGTCTTGAACCTTTATACTACAGACCAATTGTGTTATGGAAGAGTTGAAATGTAGTTTCATCTAAAAAAAAATTTGTTCCAATTGTCATTCAAGTGTTTTTTAATCCACTTCATCCACTTCTCTTTGTGTTGTATAGTAAGCATTGGCAAAATTTTTGAAACATCATTTTGATAGTTGAGACCT